CCCGCCACCTGCGACAGAGCATGGCACTGAGACTGGGCTGGTGAGGGGTAGAGCCAGGGGGTCCCCCCCCACTCCCAGCCACGGCCCCTGCCCACCTGCGTGGCATCAGGGTTGCTCTCCACCACGGGGAAGCCGTTGTGGTTGGAGGAGGTGTCGCTGAGGATGTCCACGACCGTGCCCACTCGCTCGATCCTCCGCAGGCAGGTGACAGGAGTGCTCATGACCTCCCTGCAGGGAAGGCTCGGTGGGAAACAGCCCTGTGACTGCATGTGTCAAATATCCCCCCCAACATCCACACCTCTGCGGCCCTGAGGCTGCTCCTGTCCCCAAAATCTGCCAGGGATGTGGGGAGGGGATGCACTACAGGTCACGCTCCCTTCTGGGGAAGGAGCTGGGCTGGTGGCACCAGGGGACAGCAGGCTCCTGGGACCAGACTGTGTCACTGCCTCCGTGTCCAGCTCAGGCCAACAGCACGGTCCAAAAGCTGCCACCCCCAGAGTGAGGAGCGTCCCCAAGCCCACCCACCTGGCCGTGAGGGAGTGGGAGGTCACCGGGGCCTCCCAGTGCAGGAAGGGCACGCTCTGCAGCTGGATGTGCATGTCATAGAGCCCCTGCAACGAGAGCAAGCTGTCAAGAGAAGCCTGGCAAGATGTGGAAGGGTACAGCCAGGCAGCAGCTCACCTCTGAGAGGGAGCACGCCCCCACCACGCTCCCCAGCACCACTTCCCTGACCCCCAGCCTGTCACTATGCCCTGGTGAGCACACCAACCCTCACCTCCACGAAGTAGTCTCCCACAATCTTTGCTGTCATCAGCACCAGCATGATGGGGAAGCCGTAGGTGACGTTGCCTGTTGCCTCCATCATGATGACTGTGAGACTCAGCGTCATCCGCACTATCCCACCTGTGAGAGGCACCCACGGGGTTCAGGGGTTTAGGAGAGCAGGGGAACTCTCCTCCCCCTCTGCTCTGCCCTAGTGAGGCCACCTCTGCAGTATGTGGTCCAGTTCAAGAGGGACAAGGAGCTACTGGAGAGAGTCCAGTGGAGGCTACAGAGCTGCTGAGGGGCCATAACATCTCTGTGCAGGGCAGGCTGAGAGCCCTGGGGCTGTGCGGCTGGGGAAGAGAAGCCTCAGAGGGGATCTGATCAGTGCTGAGCAAGAGCTAAAGGGCCCCGGGGGGCAAGAGGCTGGGGCCAGACTCTGGTCAGTGGTGCCCAGGGACAGGACAAGGGGCAATGGGCACAAACTGAAACCCAGGAGGTTCCACCTGAGCAGGAGGAGAAACTTCTTTGGGGTGAGGGTGCAGAGCCTGGACCAGCTGCCCAGAGAGGCTGTGGAGTCTCCTGCTCTGGAGAGATCCCAAACCCTCCTGGCTGTGACCCTGGGCACCCTGCTGTGGGTGACCTGCTGGAGCAGGGGGGTTGGATGGGATGATCACCAGAGGTCCCTTTTAACCCCCACCCTGCTGGGACTCTGTATATCATTCTGTGACACATGAGGTGAGGGGACAGCAGAACACCCCAGGCCCCCAAGTCTCTGCATGGCGATCCAGGACTGCCCACACTGGCAGGGGTGCCCTGGACAGGCCCAGCCCTGGCTAGAGCCCCAGTGCTGCCTGTGCTTGGAAGCTGACAGTCAGGCTGGGTTTCAGCTGGGGAAGAAGCTGTGCCAGGGAAGCAGGGATTGCTTTTTCCCCATGCCACCTTCACTGTGGCATGAGCAGGAGGTGGCCATGACTGTGCCACAGGGCACTCACCTAGTTGTGCAGCAGCTCCCATCAGGGCGTACTTCCCAGGGTCAGCCCAGATCTGAGCACAGGACAGAGAAGAAGCTCAGTCAGATACTGTCTCCAGGGTGTTCAGAGACAGCCAGCAGTGCCCCAGCCCCCAAACCCTGCTCCAAACTGAGTGGTGCCTGAGGGTGCCCAAACCACCCAGCTGCTGGCAGGGCTCCGTTGGGACATGGGAAAGCCCAGACCCAGCTCAGGATGACATCAAGTGACAAGCCAACCTGCTCCAGACTCCTGTGCCAAGCTCTTAGACAGCTCCATGCCTGCTGCCTGCCCAGCAGCAGGTTAGGTGGGCTGGGTGCCCTGGCTCCTGCCACCCAACACCCCATCCCACCAAGGACTCACCGAGCCTTTGGTCAGGTAGGACAGGGAGATGCCAAAGAGCCTCCCCCAGGCAGCCCCGATCAGCAGGGAGGGGATGAAGACCCCTGCAGACACTGTCAGTCCGTAGGTCCAGCAGGCCAGGAAGAAATACATCAGTGTGAACATGCCCAGTGTCATGGGGTTGTAGGAACCTGAAGTGGAGAGAGAATGGAGAGTCAAGTGGTGGTCCCACAGCCCAGAGGACACTGCGATGGGCTGTGGCCATGGGAGGACAGACAGCAGCAGCCCCATGACACTCCAAGTGCTGAAAGCCCCTCTCCTCGTGTGCACCTTCTGCCCTGGCAGCCCGAGCCTTTCAAACCTGCTCTTTAGGTTGTCTCTGACCCCTCAAGGGCTCCACCAGTTGGCCAGTGCCATCCCAAACCTTCCCATCCCACCATCTGGAGGCCTCTCCTCCATCTCGTGGCCTGGGATGACCCGTCCTCTCCCAGCCCTGTGGTTCCCAGCCTCCCACGTGGCAGCGTGACCAACTTCAAAGCCCCAAGGGACCACAAGTGCTGGAGGACAAGGGCAGGAGGAGAGCTGCTGGTGAGCTGGCAGGGCTCCTACTGCCAGCTTCAGGATCAGCTCAGTAGAGTCGGTTCTGCAAAGCCCCTCCTGTCCCACAGCTGCTCCAGCCAGTCCCAAGCCACCCCACAGTACAGGCTGTGCCATCACAGCAAGACCCTGCTGTCCCCAGGGCTCAGCCTGCTGCTATTTTCAGATCTCTGAGCAGCTTGGTCTAGTTTAAACAAGTACTTGCAAGCTCTCCTTCACAGCAAAGCCTGGGACAGGGAGGACCCAGCACTGCATGGAGTGGCCCTGAGACACAGGACGGTCGTCACTTGGCTTCAGGTGGCCAAGCTGCACTCTCTGGGCTGAGAGTCTAGAAGCTCAGAGCTGTCTGCTCCCTCCCTACATGTAGCTGGGGATGAAACTCAGACCAGCAGGCAGAGGGCACACTGTTGTTACACGAGGTGCAAGGGAAACGGGAGCTGGAACCTGGGAGCCAAATTTCTCAAGCAAATCCAAACCCCAAGATCCACCTCCGCAACCTGCCCAGAAGGTAAAGCCATTGTGGGGCAAGAATCCCTGCTAATTAAGAAAACAGCCAAGGACATTTCCAGGACAGACTTCAGCCAGGCAGCGAGGGCCAGACACGCTCCCACGCAACTCAGAAGTGACAGCTTGGAAACATGCAGGAACAAAACCAGGTCCTCATTCCCAGGCCCCCAGCACCACAGCCCTTTGGCCAAGCTTGTAGGCACCACCAGGCACAGCACCCATCTCTCCTCCTTCTACCACCAGTGCAGGAAAGGAGCAGGCACAGTGCCCTGCTGGGTCCCACGGGGCTGTGGCTGTCCCACGAGCAGCCAGACCAGGTTGGCCACCTCGTGCCACCCAGCCCTGCCCTGCTCACGTTCAGGGACCCGCTCGCTGTGTGCACGGACCTGGAGGATCGTGGAAGAGGTTGACAACACTCTTCTCAGGTGTGTTGAAGAAGGCAGTGGCCATGGAGTTGTACTCTCCATCAGCACAGAAAAGCTGAGGGGAAAGAAAAGAGTTACATGTGGCAGATATGGGCTGCCCTACAGCAGAGAGGGCTGCCCAGGCTCAGGGGGACATGTGCCAGCAAGGAGGCAGCTCTGGGCACTGAGCTCAGGTCTCCAGCTCTGCCTGCAGCAGAGGGCATCCACTGTGAGGTCCCCGGCCATAACCCAGCAGGGTCTTGCCTTGTCTCCTCACTCAGCTCAGGGTGCCCCCCACCCTGTGGGGCTGTTCTCTGGCATCTCCTACCTGCAGGGGATACGCCACCGTGCTCCCCTGGATGGGCTGGCAGTCTCTCGAGCAGTAAATCATGACAAACCCCACAGTTGCTGTCACTGCTGCCACCAGCATGGCCTCCACCACCTGGAGGCAGGGCCGGTGGATGTACCTGCAAAGGGAGCAGAGGGGTGAGGGTGGCACCTGGAGGGCACAGGCAGGATCACCCACAGCCCCTCAGCATGTCCAGTGGGACCATACAGACAGGCTGGCTGCCTCTGTCCTCCTCCCAGACTGTCCTGAGCTCTGTGCTCCAGTGAAGATGCCATGGGGAGCTGGGGTGGGAGGACAGCAGCAGGAGCAGCTTCACCCAGCTGGCTCCAGCAGACCTGCCTGCCTCCCCTGCACGGGGTCAGGAAAGTTTGGGGTGACCTGGACCAAACCAGGGGAGACAGTGAAGAGCTGAGCCCAGAAAGCTGCAGCCTAGGCCTCTGCACTCCACTGCCACAGGTCATCCCCCTTGAGGCCACGAGGCTGGTCCTGGTGCTTGAAAAGCTGGTGACAGGTACTGGCCACACAGGGCTCTGATGGCTTTAGCAGCTCTCTCCATTCTCTCGTTCCTCACAGAAGCACCTAACAGTCAGGACTGCACAGTTTCTACACTTCTTTGGGCCCTGAGGTCACCAAGGGGACATGCTCAGCAGGGTCAGAGCCATGGTGGGACGCTGCTGGTCACAGCCTCGACCGCAGGCAGCCAGAGGCACGTGGCACCTTTCCCTTCCAGCTTCCTGGGGCTGCTGTTGCTCACGTTAAGTGTGAGATTACAGCCCTGCTCTGGCTGGGGATGCTGCTTTGAGAGAGTAGGGAAGGCACCAGCCAACCCACGTCAGTCACCTCAGCTCCCCACGAGCTCTTACCTGATCCGGAACATCGTTAACCAGTAATTGAGGGCATTGAACAGTGCCCCAAGGATCCCACCTGTGAATGCAAAGAGGAAAAGCTCAGCACGTGGGTGCCAGGCTCTCCTACACTCCCAGGGAACCCACAGAGCCCAAGGAGACATCAACAACCCCTGCAGTGTGACCAGCAGCCCCAGGACACATGGACGCTGTCCCTGCAAAGACAGACAGAACCTGACACCAAGAGGAGCCTGGCAGTACCAGGGTGGCCAGGGGACAGGGTGACAGTGCTGGCACTAGGCAGGTGAGAGACAGGCCACCTCCAGAGGGATAAGGGCAGCTCATCTGAAGTCAAGGGGCTGCCCACGACTGCGATGCACTGAGCACACCCCATGGCTTTGCAGGGGAGGGACTAAAGGGACTTGCCTTTGCTACAGGGTAAGGGCTGGCCCAGGATCCAGCTCTCACCCCCACATAAGCCTCACAAGCAGTCTCTGCTCCAGATTTTAATGGATTTCCCATTCTCCCCAGGAAACTGGATCCCAAAGCTTTTTAGACCCAGACAGAGAACAGGGGAAACAACTCAGACAAATCAAATGGAAAGAGCAGCACTCTTACCAACCACTCCCATGAAGATGAAGATAGGAATTTCCTGGATCGTGTATCCCATTTTCTGCAAGCAAGAAACAAACACATTTCAGGTCTCCCAGCCCATCTGCAGTCAGTGGCTGCTGGGACAGCACAAGTCTGCACTGGCGAGTGGCTCCCAGAGCCACCCCAAAGTCTCCCCTGGACACCCTGCAGCCCCCAGACCCAGCAGTGGCTGTGGAATAACCTTCTGCTGGGGCTGCCGGAGCTGGGATCGGGCCAGAGCCCACAGCCTGCTAGGGCAGAGCCCACCTCTGCCCCAGGGTGATGTAGGACAGACAGCCTGGTGGCCCCAGGCTGCCAGGGGCTGTGTCCAGGCCCCAGCCCAGCAGAGCCCTGCGTGGGGGTTATCTGCTATACCTCGTTGTCAAACCTCCCGAAGTTGATGAGCCCAGGGCTGGAGAGATCCCAAGCGTTGCCGTGGTAAACGCTCAGGACTGAGTTCAGAGTGAATGTAGAGATCATGGAGGCAAAGAACTGTAAGGAGATGCAGCCCAGTGTCACTGCCAGATGTCCCCACCCCTGTTCCCCCAGCACTCCCACAAACCCCCCTCCAAGGCCCTTGGGTAGGGTTTGGTACCCATGGTGTGGTGGGGACAAGGGGACACGTCTCCTGGGCAGCTTACACGGACCAGGGGCTCGCTCCTGCTCCTCCTCCTGCCTCTCTGTTGCTGTGAGGCACAGCCCAAGATATCTCCCATGGAAAGGAGCTGGCTGCAAGGCAGGGCTCTGCCAGGTCCAAATTTAGCCCCTGAGTACCAGGGCACAGAAGGGGAGCTGGGATGCTGATCCCTGGGGCAGGGATGGCAGGAGACCTGGAGCTGCAGGGAACTGAGAAGAGGCAAGGCCTCACACCAGAGCCAGCAGCCCTCAATTTACTGCTCCTGCCCTCCAGCACTTACAATTCTCCACGTCAGGAACTGGTTCCAGAAGGAAGCCCCTTCCTCCAAGCTGAAGAGGACACCCCCTGCAAACATGAGACACAAACATCTTCACAAGGGGCACGTGCCACAGACCCTTGACTCACAGGACCACCCGAGGCACCCAAATTCACCCCAGCCCATGTGCCCCACACAGAACCAGACCTCACACGTGCCAGTGAAGGGACCAGCAAGCCCATCAAGCCATCAGTTGTGTACTGATCGCAGCAAAGCCCCTCCACTGCCCTCCTCCAGCCCACGGGGGCAACATTTGGGTTGCCCCTCTCTCTTCCCAAGACCTGTGTGTTGTGCCAGGACAGCCTGGAGCGGGACCGGGCGCTCTGTGGGAGGACTCCTGCCTCCAGGACTCTGCCCTGGGCAGATCCTGACAGCTGCCTCCATGCAAGGGGAGCAACCTACTGCAGGAGATCCAGCATCAGAGAGCCCAGACACACACCCACGGGGGCACCAAAGGCAGCTGAGACCCCAGCAGCAGCTCCAGCCGAGACGAAGTCCCTCTTCTCTGTGTCTCTGCGGAAGTACTCGAAGATCTGAAAGACCAAAGCAAAGCAGCTTCAGGGCTGGCCACAGGCATTGCTTTAGAGGAGACACAGGGTATGCCATATAGGACCTCAAGCCACCAGTGTGACCCCGAGGAACAGCCCAGTTTGGGCACAGGAAGGGCAACTGCAGCACCCACCTTAAAGTCTCGCTTTAAAGAAGTGGATCTTCCCTGGGAGATGCCAGCAGCAATCACTGCTCCTGAGTGAATCATGGGGCCTTCCTATGGGCAGGAGAGCAGGGTCAGGTTGGAGAAGGAAGAACCCCAGGGGCAGTCAGGGACAGCTCAATGCTGCTCACCAGGTCACAGCCCTGGTTTGGGAGGATTTCCCTCTGGGAAATACAAACTTTGCCATGTTCCCTCCCTTAAATCCTCATTCCAACAAGCGGCTCCCACGGCCAACTCCTGTTCCCACCAGCACTCCACCCAGCCAAGGGGACAGGGGCTTCCCTTGGTTGCCTTCAATCCCAGAAAGCTAAAAGGGTCCCAGGGAGGCAGCCAGGTCTCCCCCATCTACCACTTAGAGGGACAACCACCGATGGACATAAACTGCTGCTCTCCTGCCCTCAGCAGAGCCCCACACGGGCTGGCTCGGTGGCACCACGCACCTTGGGGGCTCCCCAGGCCTGGCCACGCCACAGTCACCGCGGCCAGCAGACCAAGGAATAAAGCTGGGAAGTCCCAGCAGGGCCCCCAGCGTCCCGTGGCCAGCACGGTGCCCGGTGACAGGCCGTGGCACGCGTGCCAGAGAGCTTTGTGCACATCACCTTCCCGACGGCCAGGCCGCCCACCACCGACAGGATGACCCCGCAGACTTTGATCACCAGGGTCTGCAAAACAGAGAGAGCAGACACAGCACGTCACACGGGTGGCACAGGAACGGGGCCGTGGGGGGACGCGGACCCGGCCGGTCACCGGGGCAGAACTGTCATCCTCAGTCCCCACCATGGCCACAGGGTTGGCCAACTTTGTCTCAGCAGAGCAGTAAAGGACCCCAAGCTGCTCTTTGCAACACCAGCTGCTGATCCCAGGGCGGGA